GCACCCTCCCTCAAACTACCTAAAACTCTGCTGTTCTCTGACCAAAGCATCCCTTTGTATTTCTGTTCAGCCCTTGCTCTTGATCTCTCCTTTACTCTAACTGTCCTCTCCAGGACTTCCAACTCATTCTCCAAGGCACTGCTGATGCTACCTTCTCTGAGAAACCTGTCTGCCCCCTTCACTCACCACCCCCTGCCCAAGTCAGAGCCCCTAACTTCTCTATATTCACAGAGTCTTGCACATATCTTTGGTAAAGGTTTTATCACATGATATTGTCACAAGATAGTGTCTTTAACTTTTCCAATGTGCGTTCTTCTCTGTAGACCATGATGTTGGGTATGGCAACGATGGAGTCAGATTCGTTGATATTCCTAGTGCGAAGCACATTGTTCAGCACATGGCTAATGCTTCATAAACGTTGAGAATGAGAGGACATGTCCTAATGAATGCATGCATGCCCGGCAAAGTCAGAAGCTGTAAGGTTGGTATAATTTGTCTTCAAACTGACCCAACATTTTTCAAATTCATCTCAGCACAGCTGACCATTGATTCCAGCTGAAGTCTGCTCTTAGGACAGACTCTGAAATGCTACCTCCTACCCACCTGTCAATAAGTGACCCAGCTTAGGTGGGAAGCCCTCCCCTCCTAGAGGACCTTGCTCTGTTCCAAGGGGAATCTAAGCCTTCTGCTACAAAGGTTCTATACATCAAAGCAGCCCTTGGGAAATCATTTGTTCATGGGGAGGACTTTCTCTTACCTCCCCAAGTCTGGTGACAGACACTCAGCCCACCACACAACAGGATATAATCAGATTTATCCCTGATGGTTCTTCAAGCCGAAAAGAAAAACATCACACACACACACACACACACACACACACACACACACACGCGCGCGCGCGCACACGCGCACACACACAACAGGAAGTGCTATAGTTTGGCATGAACTATCAGAGATCATTGGATGCAGCCTCTTTACTCTTCAGATGGCCAGAGAGATCAGACACTTGCTAAGGTCACTTGACCCTTGCAGGACTCAACCACTTCCAATGGGAGGTTCCTACTCTGCCACCCTTCCCTACCTCTCACCCCTTTCCTGCCAGAGAATGGCTGGACATCCTCTTAACAAGAGCCAGGATTTATGTCGACTGGGCCCAATTAACACCAAGCTCTCTCTGGCCGCAAAATGCCCTGCTGGCCAGCAGCTGAGGCCTGTCTGGCAGGACATAATTGAATGATGAAGCCATGCTGTGTGCTAAACTCGGCAAAGAAAAGAGCAGCTCGACTTGGATGCCCACCAAAGGCTTCCAGCTTGGCTCCTTCCCATGAGTTGGGCAACAAGGCTTGTCTGGCAGGGGATAAGGGTAGTGCTTCCCTGGCAAGACGGGCAAGGCTGGCCTGGGAGAGCACCACTCCAGGGCAGAATGCCCTCCGCAGGGCTTGGCAGAGCCCAGCGAGTGTAGGCGGTAAGAGAACCCTGAGCAGAGAGCCAGGAGAGCTGGACTCAGACCCAACTCCTCCACCAACTCCCTCTTGGGTGACCCCAGGCACATTGTTCATCTTCCTGTCTATACCTCAACTTCTCCCCTGTAAAGTGGGAAGGATTTCCTGGCCTACCTCATGACATACATGAAGAAAAAAGTGCCCACTCTCTTCAAGCCTCAGTTTCCTCACCCATAAAATGGGACAGCCTGGCACCTCCTTCGCAGAGCTGGCATGAGGATTAACATAAAATGCCTGGCATGGAATGATGGCCAAATCCACCATGACCTACCCCTCATTTGATTAGTATTAGATTGGGGCAACCATTCCACCTCTCTGATTCTTAGTTTTTTAATATGCCTTCTTCACATGGGTTGGTGTGAAAATCAAATTCAGAAACTGAGGCTCAGAAAGTAGCTTGTGTAAGCTGGTACAACTAACTATTGGTAGAATTGTGTTCTGAATTTAGATCTGACTCTGAAATCCAGCTTCCATCCACAATACCAGTATCCACTCACAACCCACTGGCTTTCAGACCCTGCTTTTAGTGGTGGGTGTGCAGCTTAGAGCCGGCCTGCAGAGGTTAGATGTACCAACAGACACAGCCCCTAGTTGCCACCCCAGATCAGCCCTCTTATGTTGATGGTGGTACTTCTGGTAAGACCAGCTTTCCAGGAGAAGAGACTAAAACAGAAAGTAAGGGAGGACTGGCCTGAGCGCTCAGTGAGTGACGTGCAGGCTCTGAAGAGATGATCATGGCTGCCAGGCTCTGTCCTGGACTGCCCAAGTGCATGCCAGGCCATTCTCGGCCACTTGTCCTTTTTAGGCTGTCTACGACCTCCCTGCAATGTAAGGTGAGACTCAGACTGGGGAAAGGAACACATGGATTTTAATCTCAGTGGTATCACTGACTTTCTATAAGACTTCGGACAAGTGCTTCTAAATTGGAGGGCCTGAGCATCCCTTCCGGAAAATGGAAGGCCATGCAAATTGATCAGTGCAGGGGGCCCTTCTCACAATAGGATTTTTTGCTCGTATAAACATTTGGGCTATGGGACAACTGACTTCTCTTGGCTTTCTGCTTCATTCTGTTTCTTTAACATCTCTTAAAAAAAAAAAAGCAAACAGTCCCCTCTTCATCTATTAATGTCTCTGGGACACCCAGCTGGGAGATAAAAAATGCAAGGAAGATGGCTGTGGAGCCCAGATCAATCTGCAGCTCTTCATCTCCACTTGGAGGGGGACCGACCAAGGCCCTGGCCAAGCCCTGTGAACATGAGAGCCTGCAACTCCCAGAGAAATAAACATGCTGCAGAGCGAGATGGGGGCCAGCGGAAGTCAATAAGCTCAGAGGGACTTGAGACATTTTTGGATCTTTAGGCAGAGAATTAATTCATTTGGGGAAAGTTGTGGGTTGCTGGATCCCAATCTGACCTAGATAAATAATGACCTGCCCATGAAATGCCTAAAGTTTCAATCTCAAAGCTGCCATCATCCCCTGCTGTCCTCTTCCTTTCTGAGGAGCTAGGACCCAGGTCACTTGATTTATTCTAATAAATCACACACACACACACACACACACACACACAGTGCTGAGCATACAAGGTGCTCTATACAAGTTCCACCCATGATCCTTAGCCTTCGCTGATCAGAGCCCCAAGTGGACTCTGTAAAGATGGGACCACCAGGAGCCAGTCCTATTCTGAATAGGTGTCCACTTTGGCTAAACTCACGTATGTTGTAGCCCATCGATTCCGGGAAGATTGGTCAGCTCAGACGTGATTCATCCCAGCCACAGAGCCTCTGGGTGTGACCTGAGATAAGTATGTGGTGGAATGTATGAACATTCAGAATAGGGACATCAAGAGACACCCTGGTCTAATCAGCTTATAAATGAATACATGTCTGTTTATTAATCAGCAGATGGTGTCTTTCTGATCTCCCAACTGCTGGGCGTGGGGAACCCAGAGGACTTGAGACAGAAGGAAGAGATATGTGAGAATGGAATGAACATTAGTTTACAAAAAAGTTAGTCACTAGATGGGGGAAAAAATGGTCAGAGACAGAAAACAAATTTAACCCTTGGTATTATTATAAAGAATGATAATAGGGTTTCCTAACGCTATAGAAATTACTTACTTTCCTAGAATTGGATTTCATGTTTACCATAACCTCATCAAATAAGCTTTATGGTGCCCATTTTATAGATGGGGAAACTGAGGCAATGAGCAATAAAGTGGCCTGCTCCAATATCCTAACAAATCATTAAAAGTCTGTGTTATACGTTTGAAATAGAAAAAAAGTGATCAATTTGACGAATTTTATTCCAGAGTGAGATAATACAAAAAGTATTTTAAAAGATTAATTATGACTCATGAATTAAACTTCCTTCCAAAGTACCTTCCTAGGAAATTAAAAACCTTTGCCTTATAAAAATAAACCTATGGCAGGTTTCCTCTGAAAGATCTTTCCTCTCTCTAATTTTACTGTAAATGGCTCAGTCCTCGGGTTCTATTCTTAGTTTTTTATACAGTCTTTTATATATATATATATATATATATATATATATATATATATATACAGTCTTTTAAAAGTGGTCTCATTCACATCGTGACTTTGAGTGTATCTCTCAATTGTCTATCTCAAGCATAATTCTTCTCCTAAAAGTCACATTAGTATGTCCTACTGTGGACATTTGGCCTGACTACCCACATAGCACTAAAACTAGACAGAGCAGTTTCTCTTCTCCAAACAACACTGTTCTTTCTTTCACACTCAATCATGGAAGAAGGAAGGAAAGAAGAGACCGAGGAAGAAGGATGTGCTGGAAGAGTCCTATAAGATGGTCTAGTCCAAACCTTCACTCTAAAGATGAGCAAATGGGCCAGATAGAATCAGATCTGGGACTGGGAATCCTGGTTTCCTGACATCTGGTCAGGATCTTTGTAAGAGCAGTGACACAGAGTACTGAGAAATGACATAAGGTAGGCAGAGGGCCAGGCTGGAAAGCTGGGCTTTTGCTTCAGCACACTCTTCACAATGTGTGGTCGTTTATTTGTGTGTTTACATGTGTGATGTCTATCTTTGCAGTGTCAGCTCCATGAGAGCAGGGACCATGTTCATTTCTGTATCACTAGCACCGAACACAGAGCCTCAACATAGAAGGCACTCACTAAATATGTGCACCATTCGTAGTAGCAACCACAAAGACAGTATCTAAGAATTAAAGCAAGAATACAATGGACCGCTAAGTAAAAGAGTATAACATTAATATATGACATAGAAGATGATATGAATAAGTAGAGAGATATTCCTGCTCATAGATAGGCTGACTTAATATTAAAAACATGTCCCTTCTCTGAAATCAATATAAACATTCAATACGAAGCCAATGAAAATTCCAGTTGACTTTTTGAGAACGCAATACACTTACTCTAAAATGTACATGGAGGAATACAAACGCACTTAACCTAAGAACTTTAAACATTAAAAAACAAAAATGAAGAGATAAGAACTCACCTTTCCAGATATCGACATGCTACAAAGCCACGGTAAGAAACACACTGTAGTACTAGCACAAGAACAGATAGACCAATGTGCTGTTGGCATAGAACAGAGAGCTCAGAGACATGTACACTCACATTCACATGTGTGTTGTTGCTGGATATTCTGTTTGCTCTTGCAGATCCGTGTTCCACCCTTCTCTACTCTACTCTTGTTCCAAGAGGCTGGCCTCCCTGCATTGCATTCACCCTACTCCCTTGCCCTGTGATTCCCGGTTGAGTTTGGCCCATGAAAGGCACTGGAGGGAGGTTGCAGGGAAAAGGAGATAGAGGGTAGTTTATTCCCTAGCGCTCTCCCTGCCAGGCTGCAGGCAGGTCCAGGCTGCATTCCTCTTGCAAAGACCAGAACACCAGCTCCAGTTTTCTCTGGGTTTTTATAGTCACTTCCTTTCCTTGCCCCTTCATGTCTGGGAGGTGGGGAATAAACATTTCCCACTGTTGCGACCTGAGTGCCCCACCTACCCTTCTTGGTTTCCTTAGTCTACTAGTCTTTCATTGAGCTCTCTTCAGCTGCTCCACTTGGGCATGCATCCTGTTTTCTGCTAGGCTCCTCACAGATGACAGATACGTAGATGTAATAATAATAATGATGATAATAATAATAATAATAATACAAAATTTAACATGCAATAGAAGTAACTTGACAGATCAGTTCAATACAAATTGTTAAGTTGTGTTGAGAAAACTAACTCCTTCCATGTAGAAGAGGAAAACTGGATCCATTACTAAATACCACGCACAGAGGTGGTATCATGTAGACTGAAAGGACAAATATGAAAGATAAAAATATAAAGTTAATAGAATAAATTTAATAAAACAATACAAAACAATATAAAGTTAATAAAAAATGTAGAATACCTTTATAACTTAAAAATGAGAAGGAATCTCTCAACAAACTGTTAAAGAATAAGGAGACAAGCAGTAAGACAAAAAGATGAATTTGATTCCATTATAAAAATAAGATTTCTGTTCAATAAAGGGCACTATGGAGAAAATTTAAAAAAATAGATTAAGTAAACAAACAAAAGACAGGATAGAAGATATTCAAATGCCTAAACTGACAAAAGACTGACATCTAGAAAATACAAAGAGCTCCTGCAAATCAACAAGAAAGAAAAAAGCACAAGAGAAAAGTGAGCAAACAATACACATAAGATATTTTCAGAAGAGGAAACCCAAAACAAATAAAAAGTATGTGGAGAGTTGCTCAAAATCATTAGTAATCAGAGAAATTCAAGTTAAACCACAGTGAGATATCATCTTATGTAATTTACATCAGTGAAAATTAGAAAGCTGGATAATGGCAATATTTGCAGGGATATAGGATTCCCTATATCTCTCAGGCTGGCAGGACTGCGAGGTGGTGGAGCCAATCTGGAGAACATTCCCCATCACTTAGTCAAATTAAGTATATGCATATTTTGTAATTCAGCTATTGAGCTCCAGGGTATGCATCCCCCCAAAACAAATGCAGGTTTATAAGAGATTATGTACAAGGATGTTCATTAAAGCATTATTTGTGGAGTCAGGGAGTTGGAGGCAACCTGGAAGATTATCACTCAAAGAGTGAACAGGTAAAATGTATGGGATACCACCATTGCATATTATGCAGCAGTCAGAAGAAATATAAATTGATTATAATAGCATACCGTTTGATACGAAAAGTAAGCACAGAATCAGATTAATAATATAATACCACTTATGTAAATTAAAAATGCATATATTTGTAAGAGCATATACAAACAAAAAATACACATTAAATTACTGATAAAAATGAAAGAGGATATCATTACACATCCATATGGTCATCTCAATCAATATAGAAAATGCACAGTTGTGGGAAACGAGCAATGCACAAAATTTAATTGTATTTTATATACTTGCAAAGTACAGTCATAAATTTAAAAATTTAAATACTTTTTATATGAGTATCAAAAATTATGAAAGACTTCAGCATAAACTTTACAAAAGATGTGCAGGTTATATACACTGAAAACATCAAAATATTGCTGTGGGAAGTTAAGGAAAATCGAAAGAGAAATAAGCCATAATTATGAATCATAAGACAATTTTAAGATGTAAATTCTTCCCTGATTGATCTGGAGATTCATTGTAATCTCAACCAAAATTTCAGCAGGCTTTTGTGAAAAACTTGACAATAAAAAAAAAATTGTATGAAAATGCAAATGATTTAAGGTAGTTAAGCAAATTTAAAAATGAAGAACAAAGTTAGAAGACTTACACAACTAGTTTCATGACTAGTTATAAAGCTGTAGTAATAAAGACAGTGTGGTGTTGCTGTATAGATGTGTATATCAATGAACAGAATATAGAGTCCAAATATTGGCATATACATAAGTAACCAATGATTTTTTATAAAGGTGCCAAGGCAATTCAATCCAAAAATGATAATTTTTTCAACAAATGGCACTGGGACAAAGGATGCCTATTTCCAAAAATGAAAGAGAGAGAGAGAGAGAGAGAGAGAGAGAGAGAGAGAGAGAGAGAAGAGAAAGAAAAAAAGAAAGAAAAGAAAAGAAAAGAAAAAGAAGCCCTTGACCCTTACAAGCTCTCACACTTCATACAAAATTCAACTAAAAATGGATTACTGACCTAAGTGTAAAAACTAATACTATAAATCTTGTAGAGGAAAACAGAAGAGAAAACCTAAGTGACTATGGGTTAGGCTAAGATTTCTTACATAAGACAAAAAGTACAAATTATATTTTTTTGAAAAAACTGATGAATTGGATTTCCTCAAAATTAAAACATTTGCTCTTCAAAAGACACTGGTAAGAAAATGAAAATACAAGTCAGGTACTGAGAGAAAATATTTGCAAAACTGTTTGATAAAAGATTTATAAACAATATTTAAAGAACTATCACAACCGAATAAAAAGCCAAAAAACCCAGTATAAATGAGCAACAGATTTGAACAAAGGCTTTACTAAAGAAGATATAAGAGGGCCAGCCGAGTGGCGTGTTGGTTAAGAACTGGCTTGGGATGCCAGAGGGCCCCGGTTCGGATCCCATATGTGAGGGCCAGTGACACTGCCCTCTACAGCTAAGATGCTGAACAACAGTTCAACCTGGAGCTGTGTTGCTGTGAGTCGCCGGCGTTAGCGTAGGCTGCAGCCCCTGCAAAAAAAGAAGATATAAGAATGTCAATTAAGCACATGAAAAGATGCTTAACATTAGTCATTAAAGAAATGCAAATTAAAACCACAATGAGATACCACTTCACACCCACAAGGATAACTAAAGTTAGCCCTTCTCTATGGGTTCCGCATTTGAGGATTCAGCCAACAAGAGATCAGGAATTGAAAATATTCAGAAAAATTTACATTGTTACTGATGTGTACCACACTGGTTACATCTGTATTGAACATGTACACTTTTTTCCTTGTCATTATTCCCTAAACAATTCAGTATAACAACTAATTTCTTAGCATTTACTTTGTATTAGGTATTATAAGTAATCTAGAGATGATTTAAAGTATATGAGAGATTTCTGTTCAAGATGGAGGAGTAGGCAAATGCTGTGCTTACCTCCTCTCACAACCACATCATAATTACAACTAAACCACAGAACAAGCATCATTGAGAATCACCTGAAGTCTAGCTGAACCAAAGCTCCACACTAAGGACATACAGAAGAAACCACCTCGAGACTGGTAGGAGGGGCAGAGAAACAGAATGGGCTGGTCCCATACCCACGTATGACAATTAAAAATGGGAGGGATATCTCTGCTGTAGAGGTCGCCCCCTAGAGGAGCAAGGGGTCCCAGCACCACACCAGGCTCCCCAGCCCAGGGTTTCAGCGCCAAGGAGAGAAGTCCCCATAACTTTTGGCTGTAAAAACCAGCAGATTGCAGCTGAGTGAGACCAGAGTGGCTGCGTTCCCAGGTGCTCCTCTTAAAAGGCCCACGCATGGACTTACTCAGTGGTGGGGCAGCACTCGTTCTGAGCTCCAGTGCTGGGGCAGCAGCATGAGAAGGCATCAGGGACATACAGGGAAGAACTGAGTTGCCTGGCCTCAGGGCAAGGGCTAGAGGGGCAGCTTTCTCCTGGACGAAGGAGCTGGCGGAAGCCGTTGCTTCTTTGTTGAGCCCACCCCCTTCCTGTGTGCAGACCCACGCAGATGCAGGTGGGCACCATACCTGAGTCTCCATTAGCCTGGCTAATACCATTCATTCTCCCTGATCCCCTGAGACCCCACCCCACCCAACTTTTGGGCACACTGAAGCTGCTTCCTGTGGCTTTTCCGTACAAACTGCCTGCCTTGGCTCATGCTGCTGACTTTCCTAAAATCTCACAAAGGTTCACAAAACCCAAACAAACAGCATCTGGGTTCAGCATGTCCCGTACCTTTGGCTGAGCAGCCCTAAGACTGGCACTAGTGACAGCCAACTTTGGTTTGTGGCTTGGCTTCTTGAGGCACCTCCAAGCACAGCACAGATGGCGGCCATCTGCAGATTGCTTTGTGGCTCATTCCAGGTGGCCCCGGGCAGGGCACATGCTTCGGCTGAATTTAGCCTACAGCAGGTCTCTTCCCAAGAGGCCCCAGGGCTGGCACACCCAGTGGCCAGCTTCAAACCAAGCTGGAGAATCATCTGGCCACCTCCAAACACAACACACCCAAAGGGCAAACTGGGCAGACACCAGAGCCCTGCTAAAGTGAATCCTGCTCCATGGGGTCAGTCTCTGCACCATAGCTCCTCCCCTGTATTCACAGCCAGTCCTCACAACCAATGAGCCCAAGGGTCAATCCCTCCCACTGATGTGCAGACAGCAACCAGGGATCAACTACAACAGGAAGGCACACACAACCCACACAAGGCACACTGGAGCGCCTGGTTCTTGTGACCAGGGAGACTGTGTCACTGGGTCCCACAGGAAACCTACTACATAAGGCCACTCTACTAAGACTGGGAGGCATAGCAGCCCTACCTAATACATAGAAACAAACACAGAGATGGAGCCAAAATGGGGA